GGAATCTTTTATATCTTCCAGTCTCTACACATATATTTAGAAAAATTTATATTCATCATAAAAAATAAAATTCACAATTTTACGGTATGACGAAATTGTCTCCCATACGACAAAAGTTAACCGATATATTTTATTTTAAAATTTCTTATTTTTGACGTCATTTTCAGCTTTTCTTAAGGGGTCTGTTAATAAATAAATCAGAATAACTCGAGGCTGGTTTCTTTTCATTTAAATGTCATTCATTAATATTCTTTTCTATTGTATAACAGTATAGCATTCTTTGATTTATAATTTCGCTACAATTCCTATGCGGAGATCATTTTCACACAATTAATTTAAAGTTTCAAGCACTAAAAATGCGTTGTTACTATTCTCCTGCAGTTCTGAACCATAATCTAATAACTACTAGAAATAATATTTTGAATTTATGCAAATAATGCTGCGTGTTGATTATGTGCATTACCGAAGCCTGTCATTGTTTTCTAAAACACAATTTTTTTAAGATTCTGTGAAAAAAATCTTGTCTTTAAAACATATCGTCCTTTAGTTTATGTACCACCCCTCGGTCTGTAAAACATGCTACAGCGTGTTTTTGCTGATAAGTGTTCGTGCATTCATGAATTTAGAATCATAAATTGTGATTGCCATGCAAAGAACATCAACTAATGTTCACCTATAATTACAGATATGTGGTTTAAAAGATTATTTGTAAATTTATGGATTTGTCATGCGGAGAGACACAGTTTTTGTACTTTATCTTTCATGATAAGTATAGCGGATATACTTATAGGGAGCACAAAAACGTTAAAAGGTTAGATTTTGTAATTTGTCAAAAACTATTTTTTTTAGTTCAAACAGGCAATTTGCCCTGAAGGACTATTAATTTTGTTTGGCATTTTGCCTTGAAATCTATAAACGGCGAATTATCGCCCTGTATTATATTTAAAGAAATTAAATAATGAAGAATCTGCATGAATGTATGTATGTTTCTCGCATTGTGTTAAAACAACGGTACATAGAGCCATCGAAATTTGAATAATGTAATCTTCTATAGAATATGGGCATGTGGAAGACCTAATTTGAATTTGAAATTTGTTTTATTATTCATTTCGTATTTTGTAACACTTCAACGAATTTTTGATTTACAAACTAAACGATTTCAAAGCGAACAATAGAAACATTGTACGAAAAAAAAATTTTTACGTAGCGTATTCGGAAACTAAGTACCGTTTCATTCTAGCGCCGTCGCAGTGCTGTGGTAAGCGTCCCGCGCATGCGCACTAGTCTTTCTTGTTTAAAGACTTTTGATTGTCGCCATTTTGGTTAAAAGCAACCAAAATTGAAATTTTGGTTGCTATGTTGTGTTTTCAGTTTGCTGTGCACATTCAAAATGTTTAAGACAATTAGTTCTCCCGCTGATTCACCTCGTGATTAAATTTTTGAACGCGAGGAATGTTAAACCGGCCGAAATTTATCGTCATTCAAGTGACAGAAGTTTACGGTGAATACGCGATAAGTGATGGAATGGTGAGAAAGTGGGTAAGAATGTTTAATGCAGGTCGAACAAATGTCCACGCCGAGGCTCGGAGTGGTCGGCCTTCTGTTGTCACCGATGATTTGGTAAGGAAAGTTGATGAAGCAATTCATGAGAACAGACGCTTCACAATGACAGCTCTTTCAGAGGCATTTCCATCCACAAATTTCACGTACTGTTTTGTTCGAAATTGCGTCTGACCGCTTGAATTATCGCAAACTGTGTTCCCGATGGGTTCCAAAAATGCTCACTGATGTTCACTAAACAAAGCGACTTGGTAGTGCCCTGACATTTCTCACGCGGTACAGTGATGAGGAAGAAAACTTTTTAAACAAAATTGTGACAGGTGATGAAACTTGGGTGTGTCATTTCACACCAGAATCGAAACAACAATCGAAGGAGTGGAGACACATTCATCGAAAAAATAAAAAATCATGTGCACTGTCTTCTGGAATAGGATAGGCGTTTTGCTTACTGAATTTCTTCCCAGAGGTGAAACCATTAATGCGGCACGATATCGGCATTAATGCGGCACGATACGCATACTGGCTCGTATCTCCAGCGCGCGAGACTGTGCATCGGAAATTCTAAAGATATGCTCATTTTAAAACTATTTTGCGATATTGCTGTTGAACTCAATTTTATGGTTTGCGTACACGCAACATGATATTTAATAAATAAAGGTTTAAAACTTTTAAAAAACGCCCCTTTGGACGTAATTTAAAATCTGAAACCTTTCAGACTTTTTATTTATGTTACTTTTTTTAAAATTTGAAATTAGGAAAACAAGAATCTTTCCGTTATTTAAAAAATTTGATGTGTACACCACATGGCTTCCTTGTACGGAATATTAAATTATACGCATTTGTTTCTTGGATTTCTTTTAAACTTAATGGATTCAATTAAATCTACTTCACCTACAGCGCATAAACCACAATAGAATAAAGGCATTCTTTAAAAATTCATTCTATTTGTTTTACATAGCGACACTCTGGCACTAGGTTCACTTAACAGTATTATATTTCGTTCATATTATAACTCAGAATGCACGAAACGTATATCATTTAAAGAATTATCTAATCGTTGCCACATGTTCTTTTCAAATACTATAATAAAGGTAGAACGATGTAAAAAAGAAATTAAGCAAACAAAACAAAAAAGAAACAGTTTTTCACAGACGATTGAGTATTTCTCATTCAATTAATTCAGTTTTCACTTCGCGACAAGACAAAAATACATAAAAGCTCAAAATATCTGTATTAAAAATTACTAATTATTAAAAATTAAATTACTAATTATTAAAAATTAAGTAAATCTTAAACACTTATTTCCTCGAAAAAATTCCAGAAAGGATTAAGCATGATTTAATTCGCAATAATAAATGAAGGCGTTATTTTTTGTTCTTGCGAAGCTTAGTCTCTCTAGATTGGCAACAAATCTACAATTCTTCTGCTGTTTCAAATGTAAACAAATATGTCCACCATGTTATTTAAAACTTAACCGCACTTAAAAGCTTTTTAAATTGTTGATAATTGTACAAATATTGCTTCCAGAATTACGAAAGGCATAAAAACCCTTAACCGGAAGATAAGAACAACAAACATAATTCAATCATTTTTTAAAGCAAAAAATGTACAATTTACAAACATATGAGAGTAAAAAAACTGAGATCACTGTGCCGAGTAACAGAGTGGATATATATATAAATATAGTATTTATATATACGTTTGGTGCGGCCGATTGCAACCAAAATACGAGGTGCACATTTACATGTTATAGCAGTCCTATATACAAAATTTCAACATTCTGAGGCCACTCGTTTTTGAGTTATGCGAGATACTACGTACGCACGTACGTACATACGTTCGTACAGACGCCCCGAAAAATTCTCTTCAGAATTAATTTTAAAGCAGTTTTATAATTTTTTTGGAGGAAACGAGTCTTTTATTCTGTCCCTTACGTACAGATATCACGCAAAAAGATCGTTAAATTGCATTCGATAGCGGTCAAAATGGATATTTTCGTTGAAATATGCTGCCTGAAACTTTTCGCGATTACAATACTTCCTTTTTACTTCGTACAAGGAAGTAAAAATATTTGTAACTGGAAGCATATCTCTTCCACTGGCGGTTTCAAAAATAAATGCCGGGTACGAAGTTCTGTGGGCGCAGTGATTATTATTAAATTTTTGTACTTATTTATATATTCAGTTGATAACAACAAATCCTTTTTGCTATCATACAAAGTGTCTAGATGTCAGAGTGCAACCTGGCGACTTCTCGCACATCTGTGAAAATGAATACGGCAAGGAAGGAGTGTAAATATCCCTTTTTATTTACCACAACTCTTTAACAGGAAGGCACAGACTTCCTGATCCCAAAAACACCGATTACTTCCGGTGAGAAATTAGCTGAGCAACCTACCGGCGATAGACTAACTAAACGGCCAGTATGCGTTGACGCTACTAAGATTAAAGCCTTCTAAGATTAACACCTGGAGGATAAAGCAGCAAACGTGCGCTATACAAGAGAAATCACGCTCTGTCTGGATTATTCGTTTCCCTCGTTTAACCTCTCTTCCACCCGTAACCATAAAATTCAATTCAACCGTAATATTACAAAATAATTTAAAAAGGGCATTTCTTTAAAATTTCCTATACACAGTATCGCGCGCTGGAGATGAAAATGTTTTTTAGCCCAAAGAATTAATTTGTGTGGTGTATTTAATTATAGCAAAGCACACTAGAGCTATCTGCCTAAGGGGAGGGATGCCTTTCGTGAAGGACTTTCTAAGGGAAACTGGCTCGTATACACGTTACACATGGAGAAAACCACGAAAACGCCTATGCAGCCAGTCCGTTCGCGGGATTCGAACCTCGGACCGAACTACCAGTGTTCAGCGTCTTTACCGCTCGGCCGCTTGTCCAGAAGAGCTATTAATTTCGTTTTGGCATTTTGCGATGATTCACTCTAAACGGCGAATCCCTTTTTAAATTGTTGCCACCCAATAGTATAGCCCTGTATTATATTTAAAGATATTAAATAATGAAGAACCTGCACAAATGCATGCATGTTTCTCGCACTGTGATAAAACAACTATACCTAAAGCCATCAAAACGTAGTCATCCATCCGAATATGGGCACCTGGAAGTCCAAATCTTGAATTTCGAATTTGTTTTATTATATAATTCATATTTTTTAAACTTTAACGAATTTTTGATTAAGAAACTCATTTCAAAGCGAGCAGTGGCAACACTGTACGGAATAAAATATTTTTATCTCCAATGCGCAGGGCTGTCTATCGGAAATTCTAAAGATATGGTGCTTTTAAATATTTTTAGCTCAAATGCTTTCGAAACGTGTATGTATATGTAAATGAAAAAATGGCCCCTTTGGGCGTAATATAAAATCTGAAATCTTTCAGAATTTGTTTATTATTTATTTATATATTGTGTTTTTTATTTTAGCTTTAGTTTTATCGAAATGAGAATTCTAAGGCAACCTAGTAGAAATGAATGGGATCGCCAGGAAGAAATATTCGCATATCTTATTAATCCAGCATATTATAAGCATCGTTTGCGTCCAGAAGCAAAGGAAAGTAAGTTATTAACTTAAGGTCACCTAAAAATCTTTAAATATAGCTTAACTATAATTAATAAAAGCAATGGAGATTTTTAATTAAAAATATGTTTTTCTTTTTTTTTTTTTTAGTCTATTGTTTCTTACTTCCTCGTATGAAATAAAGAAAGTATTGTTCGCGATTCCATTATAAGTAATTACAATGATACACTCTAAATTCGAAAGAGTCCTATCCGACTCTAAAGGAGTGATATCCCACCTCCCTCTAATGCCAAAATGGCACCAACCTCGAAAGAGCGATATTTCACTCTAGTAAAAAGCGGTTCCTTTTCACACAAAAACAGGAGTGACCCTTTCTTCGTTCGCTCTTCTTCGATAGTCAGATATCGCCCGATATTCGGGTGAAACCACACACATTACAAGGAGTTATAATAATAGTCTGCTCACTCCTTGGTGGTGTGATTTTTATATAATTATTTTATAGGCAAACTGAAAATTGGTATTTGCTATGTAAACTTTATAGCTGATGTATTGTTTTAGATATCTGGTTAATATTATCTCTTGAAAAAAATATTTTACACTACTTTTTAACATGCTATTGTGATTTTAATTATCTGATATATACATCTGTTTTAGATTTGCTACCTATGTACTTACTTAAACATTTATTGGTGATGAGATTTCTTTCCAGATCTAACGAAATATACATATAAAAAATTACATCCATATTAAAATATTGGAAATTCGGTGTAGTTAACATTCTGAAATACTTAACACTATCACTTTCTCACAGAATATATTTAAATTTTACAGAAACATGGCTTTTGCCTTTATGTGTAATAAGCAATAAAAATAAGAACGTCAATGCAACTTATATATAAAAACTGGATTATGAATCAAAGTAGACCATCACTGAAATAAAAAAACACAGTTTAAAGACAATCATATCTTCATTGTTTAGACATATAGTTTTTCTTTCCAAATCTAACGAAATATAGATATAAAAAATTACATCCATATTAAAATATTGAAAATTTGGTGTAGTTAACATTCTGAAATACTTAACACTATCACTTCCTCACAGTACTTCTGATGTGAAATTACTTTGAATTCACAGAATATATTTTATTTTACAGAACCTTTATGTGTAGTAAGCAATAAAAATAAGAACGTCAATGCAACTTATATATAAAAACTGGAATAGCAAGATATTCGCAATGAAAAACTTAGTTTTTGAATAAAAAATAAGGTTTTTCAGGTACTTAAAACTTTGAATAAATATTTCAGATATTTTCAAAATTTGATTTGAGAAATCAAAAAATGCTTATTTTCATAAAAGAAATTTAATAAAATCATTTTAGATGAATCATATATATATATATATATATATATAGTGATATACATTCTAAATTTTGTATACATATTTTAATTTAAAAAAGCAAATTATGCTTATTCACAAGATTTGGGCACGTAATCATGTAAATTGTAAGCTAAATTTTCCATTAAATAATCATACTAGTTGGAAAAGTAATTTATTAAAAATAGTTCTTGACAAATTTTATAATGAAAATTTGAATGTGTTAGAACAGCTGATCATATATATATGTGTCAGTAAACCTGTATCATAATCTGATAGATTTAACTTCTTAAAATGCTACTTATAAGTGAATATATTAATACAATTTGTGAATTGATGTTACTAGTAGTTTGTCTACTTGAGCATAATATGCATAAAAAATCGAATAATAAATTTTAATATACATTGAAGTAAGAAACAAATGCGAATTTAATTTCCCTTACATGAAAACTATTCAGCTTTATTTTCAATGTATGAGATTCAGAAAATAAGTAACCATAAAATACTCTCATGCTATTGTTTTTAGCTTCATATATTGCACAAAATATTGCAAAAGAAATGTTTCTATTTCTTATTACATAATTATGAAGAGCTTAAAATTAATTATTACCCCAAATTATGAATAAAGTCTAAAATCTTCAGTTAGCTTGTTACGCTTTCTATTTTTGAGAAGTTATATGCATACAAATTCCTATACATTAATCATTACAGGTGAATAAATGCTTACATATACTTTTAGACTATAACTTATTTTTATATATGCTAATTCCAAGTCTCATTTGGGAAAAATAAAGTAAATTTTAAAGTGAAATAATATGGATTATAGCTCACATGTGTAAGCTAAAAATTCATTTTTCATAATTCTGCTGAAAATTATTATGTATTTCATTTATTGATTAAATCCGAATAGGAATCATTACCATAACTGCAGAATTATAATAATTTCAATGAACAAAGTATTTTAAAATATAAGTGAAAACAAGCAATGCATGAAAAACTCTTTATTAGGAAATATATGTACATATATATACATATATAAAAATGGAAAATATGACAATAAAATGACATTAAAAATATGAAATGTAATGCATGTACAGAATGCAATAAATTCATACTCAACATGTATTTAAAGAGTCCACACAAGCTCTAGGAGTGCTGACATTATACAAAAGGCTTGCCACAAAATTATAAAAATTTGTTGATGTATGTGCATATTGAACGCTAAATACAAAATTAGTTTTAAATAGAATGTCAAATGCCTTCATGGCATGATTTGGGCATGCTATTAAGTGATTTACTGCTTTAATATAGAATGAACTTGTAATACACACTATAATGGGCTGTTTATTCTGAGCTGGTCCAAGAGATTCCATGTCTTCTATTCCCTGAAAATAAATTTCTTTATTAAGAATACATCCATTACCTATCTATTAGGACAAGTCAAATACCAATGAGCCATACTAGAAAGTTTATCTTTCCAATTAAAAAATATCGCCAGAAAATTTTTTCTTCTTTCAAAAATAAGTAATTCCTAGTAATTTTATTCACATAGAGGTCTTTTGCTTTTAGTTTCTGTAAAAATGCAGTATAAATACATATAGGAATATGTAAATATTATATTGATGCAAATATAGAATAGGATAGTCTATTTGTGCATTGCTTCTTAATGAAAAAATGTAATAAATAATGTACATAAAAATGTAAAAAGAACAAACTATATGGAGAATTAGTCTGTCTTTTCCTTATGAAAACAAGTATCATCCCTTCATAATAAACTATTGTTGTTCATAATAAACTATTGTTATTGTAAAGATGTTTGTTCTTGATTTCATGATCGCTATAGTCTGGCTGGAAGTGTATCTTTTGAATTTCACCTTGAAGCAGCAATTTTTCCATCACTTTACAAGTTAAAAAAAAAAAAAAATCTATGTTCACTGTATATACATGCATATATATGATTAGTGTCATGCTTTAGATTTAGATCATATAAAGGCATCACACATATTACAAACCATCTTATTCTCTCGAAATATTTGCTAGTATGTAGGTGACATTCAAATCAATGCAATTCCAATTCTACAGAAATTAGCTAAATGACCATGCATCATCTGTGGGTACAATAGTCGAAAGCAGCCTGAGAAGATGAATTTTAGCCACATGAGGCCAAATACATTCACTGTTGTAAAATGGCTCATTTTAATATAATCTGCCCTCTTAAAATGAAAGTTAGTGCAAAGCATATCAAAATTCCTCAATACTTACATTTAGCAAATATTAGAAGTGCAGAATTTGGATTTTTTTTTTTTTTTTTTTCAAATAACAGCCTGATGCTAAAATACTTGCTTTGCCTTTACCCTACAAAAATAAAAATAAAAGTATATATAAAAGACATATACTGGATAAAAATTGCATGTGAAATGTAATAATTAATTGAAACTATATAAATATCACACATGAACCTTTCAAGATAGAATATGTAGCAAATTTCAAAGGATATGCAGCTCAGCTCACTTACATATAGTATCAATAGCTTATTTACATATACATACACTGCAAACTAAAAATATTATCCTATGAAAAGAATTTTATAGCTAAGCATATGAAATTATTTTTTATGCATAGACTTATGCCAAATATTTACTCATTAATAATGAATAAAACCTTTTCCCCTCTTTCTTTCCAATAATTTTAGCTGAGCAAAAGTTCTGTGAGCAAAACTAATGCTTTTAGGTCATCTCTCTCTAATATATATAAATACACACGTTTATTACATAATGATTACAAAAATATCATTAAAAAGGCCTTTGGCTTTACTAGAGGCACATGTACTTTACTCATTTAAACAAGCTTTTAACCTTTATGAGCCAGAAGAAACTCAAACTTCAGATTAACAAAACCATTTCAATTGTTTTTATGACTGAAACATACTGAAATGTTTCTTTTACAATTTTGGTTTCAAATTGACCTGTTTTTGTATTCAGAGCTTGATCCAATCTACTGCCAAGCATAATTTCGACAGGTTCGATAAAATTCTGACAGCTTTTCAAAGCCTTTATTTGTCCTTTAGTTGCTGACATGCCATCAAAAATCTGCCTAATGGGAAGGATGCCTCCGTGGAGGTCTTTGTAAGGCAAACTGGTTCGTATACACGTTACACATGGAGAAAACCACAAAAAAGTCCATGCAGCCAGCTCCTTCATGCGATTCAAACTCTGGACCGAACTACCAGTGCTCAGCGACTTTGCCGCTGGTGGGTAATATTTAGGGGATGTGCATTAATGTTCGGAGAAAAAGCATGATATTAAGCATTTGTAAGTAAACAGCCTGTTAAACATGGTATTTAGGCGCAGGGGGGCGTAGCTAGAGGGGGCAAGGGGCATCTGTCCCCGGGCGCAGGATCCAAGGGGCGCCAAACTGATGTGTTACGGCATTTTAGAATTAAATGTTTTCCATCCTTGGCAAGCAGTAGGGGGCGCGAAATCTTCAGTTGTCCCTGGGCGCTGAAAACCCTAGCTACGACTCTGAATGAGCAGCAAGAAATATAATATTAAGCATACGTAAGTAAAATTTACATAAAGTAAATATTAGTTACTGAAATCAATTTGGCCTTCCCCATTTTCTCAAAATTGTCCAAAAACTGTTCCGTTAAGAAAATTTTCGGCAACATATTATCTTAGAAGGAAACATTCTTTAAACGCAATTTAATATTTCTTTGACTGTATCTCAACCATTATGCTTAATTTCATGCCGAGACAAGTACTCGAGTATGCAGTTTTGTAAATTTTCTTTGCAAACACTTTAAAATCACTTTTAGGGAAACATAGCACGGAAATCAGACAAAATAATAATAAATTGAGAAAAAATGACACATGCAAATAAATTTTGAACAGCAGCGAAAGAAAGCGAGGAGGCCGCAAGAGAATTCTACCAGCTTTGTGCTTTTGCAGCGTTTACATTTACTGGATTCTTTGCGGTAGTGTTTTCGAAGGCAGGTGGAAGGATGGTAACTTTGAACTTCTGCAGTTCATAAAATTTACATCTGTAAATGCAATTTTGCTTTGCAAAGTACAAATGGATTAAAAAACACCTAAGACTGAGAAATTGTACCATACTGTCTACAAATCAGCTGATAGAGTAGTAAATCAAACTTTTAGAATACTATTAATGATTTTGTGTATAGGAAAACAAACAAAATAGTACTTTACGGTATTAGAATTAATGTTTTATTTCAAAAATAAACCCAGATATTTTGTTTTTATATATATCATTTTGACATTTTATAGACTTTTTATTGTGCACTGAGCGAGGCAGCAAGAACTCTGGCTACACCTCTAACAGTGTTCACATAACTTAGTTATTGAAAATGTAAACAAGCTGTGTTACCTGGGTCTTTAAATCCTATCTAAACCAGAAAATGAATTCATATGAGTTTATTAAAATCAGATTACTTACATTTCTTTCCTACTTTAAAGGACTGTGCATAAGAAAAGGTTTATAAGACTTGTTTGATACAACAATAGCTTTTGCTAATGTAAACAATTATATTATTTTGAACATTACTTCATCAGATCCTCTCACTCATTTTAATATCACTAGGAGAAGATATAATAACTAATTGAAATGAAAAGGCAATAATCTTGAAAAGTAATAAGTAAATGTCATTAGTTTAACTTTCTAACTATTGAGTTGATGTATATGAATTAATCTATGAATCATTTTAGAATTATCATGTTTAAATTAGTATATATTTCGACAATTTTGAAAGTATGCCTGACAAGTTTTCTTAGAAGGGGAAATAAATAAATAAAAATAACCCGTCGAATTAGGTTTTCTCCCGCAATAGAAGGGAGGGGAAGCTGTTTTTTAATTGTGCATTCTATTATCTGTTAATAAAATAAGTTAATTTTTTAAATATGATAGGCGCTGCCACAAATATAAGGCAATATTGCTTAATTTTCATATTATAAAATAAAAATGCATCAAACATTTAGGTTTTATGGCTTACATATAAAAAAGTCGTTTTGTTTCAGTTGAAATAAAAATGTTTAGACATGTACGAATTTTACTATTTAATTAAGTCTGAAAAAAAACATGCCTTACATTTTTTAAAAATAAATACTGTTTTTTTAATTTTTCTTATTTGCATTAAAAGAAATAAACATTTGGTGTACATATTATATATTGGCATATACGTATATTTGTCAGTAAATACATATTTAGCATAAAATAAATACATGTATATAGCATATAAAGTCAACTGAATATCTGGAATTTTCAAAAATCCGGACTCGGTATAGTTTTTAATTAAAAACAGAGTAGACCTGGAACATTTAATAATACAACAGTTTTCAGTTTGTCATCAGAAAATCAAAACTTTTTTTTTTTTTTTTTAAATAGCTGGGTTTTTTTTTAGTCCAAAGGGGCAATTCTCCCAGAAGGACTGTTAATTTCGTTTTGGCATTTTGCATCGATTCCCGATATGTTTCATTTCAAATTGCTGCCACCAAACATTATATTTAAAGAAATTAAATAATGAAGAATCTGCATGAATGTATGTATGTTTCTCGCATTGTAATAAAACAACGGTACCTAGAGCCAACAAAATTTGAATAAGGTAATCTTCCATAGAATATGGGCATGTGGAAGCCCTAATTTGAATTTGAAATTGGTTTTATTATTTGCTTTATTATTTAATATTTTGTAATACTTCAACGAATTTTTGATTAACAAAAACAAAGTAAACGATTTCAAAGCGAGCAATGGCAAGACTGTACGAGTAAAAAAAAAAAATATATATATATATATATATATATATCTCCAGCTCGCGAGACTCTGTATTGGAAATTCTAAAGATATGTTCATTTTAAAATTATTTTGCGATATTGCTGTTGAATGTTTTTATGGTTTAAGTGCGAAGAACATGATATTTAATAAATAAAGGTAACACACAAAATGTTAAAAAAACGCCCCTTTGGACGTAATTTAAAATCTGAAGCTTTCAGTCTTTTTTAAAGAATGCAAGATTTTTTTTAAATCGTAAACGGAAAGCCGTCTTAGCAGCTTTATTGGCCTCCCGGACTTTGAATGTTCAAGAGGCCTTACACCTACACTCTCGAGAATAACAACATATTTGCAAAAATATAAGTTTTAGAATGCTGATATGACCCAGGTAGTGCTAGTATTTATATTTTGGAAAAATTCAGCTTTGCAACAGTAAGTGAATTTTATTGTCACAAACTATAAGCAGAATTTATAAAAAATGAAAGTTAAAAATCTATTAAAAACTACTAGAAGCTGAAAACGATATGACTTCAATAGGAAATTCAGTAAAGTATACGGTTTTTATTTCTTCCAATACTACCAAATAATTTACACACTTTATGTTATAAAAAAAATCAAAACTTTAGTATGCATTTTTTTTTTCCACCGCTGTTCTTCCTATTTGAAATAGGAATGCATGCAAAACTAAATTTAAATAATTAAATTCGATAGCTTTGTGTAAATTGTTCAAAAATAAAAATAATGTTAAGAATTATTTACAAAAAGTACCATCCATACGTACAGCTTTCATTGTGTTAGCAGTACGTAATAAATAAAACTACGTTACAGCATTACACTCTTAAAGCAAATTTACAGACACCTAAAAAAAAAGAGCAAACTAAAACTACTTTTTATTACATACTTAAATTTTGACACATAAATCTAACTATAATTTATAATAATTAAGATATTTATATTAAGAAATAATTGTATATATATTTTAAAAGCGAACTTACTTTTGGCAAAGGAGCTGTATCCATTGTTACGACTGTCCTCGCTTGAAATGGCGCTTAGCCAAAGAACGTTCTTTGGACTTAGCAAACTTGTTTGGTCAGTCTGGGTGGACAATGGCAAGACAACGAGACTGATAAGGTCGTGGCAAGACAGGGGGTCGTCCTGCTCCTTCAATTCACTCCCTTCCCCAAGGTTATTATTGCAAGTGGGAAACATGTTCTGCTACCAAGACAGTAAATTTGCTTTGCTTGACACGAAAACGGAGCGAAAACTGCTGTCACCCTCCAAATCTCACCCGGCGAGATTTAGAGTGTAAGTGATACGCATTATGAGTAACATGAGAATTAATATAATTTAACAGTTTAAACTCAAATAGTGTTTGGTAAACCTGTATTTTAATGGTTGTATGTAAACTTCTATGACTAAGTGTATGTGTTCAAGACTCTTGAATAAAAGAATGTGATACTCTTGCGGTACGAATGTGGTAAAAGGAACTCCTGCATTTATTGAAATTTTATGTTATAAGAATATATAACCCTTACTCTTTACAGAAACAGATGCAATAATAAATTTTGCATCGATTAATTGAAAGACATTTTGTTGAGATTACATTATCCCAATTGAATTTACTTTCAAGTTTATGCAAATTAAAACATAGTGAAATATCCTCATCTTGATTATATATTTTAGTAGGAGTTTGTTGAAACCTATTGGAAACTTGGTATTCATAGTATCTATTTTTATACAATAATTACTGAGTGAAATCAAATTTTCTGAAATATAAAAATTCGCAATATTTTCTGCAATTAAATTTACTTTTACCCCAAATGCAGTATCTTAATAGGAACATCATTGCAAGAAGCCAAATCCAAAGCAAATAAAAAATAAAAATGAGCTTTTTTCATATTATTAACGTACACAGAAAAAAAAAAAAAAAAAAAAAAAAAAAAAGGATATTTCGCGTTTTACTGGGCCGATTGACAAAATTCAAATTGCGTTTTTCATATCTCGAAAGCGCGACATAGGATATATATTACATTTATATATAGCAATATTCTAACATGGGTATTTTGGCACAAAATCGGACTTTTTCTAAAATAACATACCAAATTTTTTACATATTTCCATTCTACGTCTGAAATTATGCCTAAATATTAAATTTTGTAAAATTTGGTGCGAAATTTCCAGAGAAATGCAAAAATTTATATTGGCGCTTTTTTTCAGTTTGCGCCAAGAATAGTTCACTTGGCGAACATCTTAATATATGGCAACCTATTTTCCTTTTCCTTTTCACATTGCGCGCGAAGAAAAAAAAAGCCAATCGTCCTTTCTTTCAAATAATGTTCTTTATATTTTTATGTTATTAGTTTAAATATTTTTTTCATATTTCATTTTAATTGTTTAAGTTGCATAGTTTCTTTCAAATAATTGTTTTAAAAATTTCTATTTACTCATGCGAACTGCGTAGTTTAAATAAAAGGTACATCGTTTATTACTTTTTTTTTTCAAACAGGTTTCTTTATACTATATTTTTAGTCATAATTATTATTTTAGGCAATTTTTGAATTTTTAGACTTTTATTTTAATTTTTTGCGTTGTATTGTCTCTTCAGATAATTGTTTTAAAATCTTCTATTCATTCATTCGAACTGCGCATTTTAAATACATTTATTTATTAGTATAAATTTTTCAGAATTTGATTTTATTTCTTTGAATTGCGTTTCTTTCGGAAGAATACTTTGTGACCCAGACAACGATGCGTTCGAAAACTGCATATATTAAAAGAGCAAATACAATAAAGAACAGTTAACACGCCTTTCAATGTTCCGTTCAGAAAAGATATATAAGTAAGAGAGATATGTATCCGACATTTCAATTTAGGATGACTTGCATACATTGCTTTAAACAGTTTTATCATTGTGCTCATTGCTTTACACAATTTTATCATCCTATATTTAGTTTCTTAAAATGTTATTCATATATTAGTCAAATATTTTATTTTTGAAAACTCAAGAATCAAATATCATAAAATTTAAGAAAATTAAATTTAAAAAATACTAAATATCATGCAAAAATTTATTTTTTCTTCTTAATGGCTTGCTTTTTTCTTTTCAGGCATTTTACAAAAGCATCCAATTATTTGAAACATCTTGGTATTTCTGACATTAATTTTAAATAAATTTATCGATTTGAAAAAAGCCCGCAAACGGCCGAGCGGTAAAATCTCTGAACACTGGTAGTTCGCTCCGGGGCTCGAATCCAGCAGAACGGGAGGGTTGCATAGGCGTTTTCGTGGTTTTCTAATTCTAATGTGTTGGTTTATGCATTAGCACTGAAGGCGTAGTGAGTAAGTTTCCTCAAGCGCAGTTTTTATTAAAGAATCATAAATCAAAAAATTAACTACGAAATCTTTATTTAATAAAAATGAGAATTCTGCTTACTCAAGTAGAACACCAATTAAAGTAACAATCTTCACAGACATTAAAACACTGAATTATCGAAAAGGAGATAACTTACATAGAATCATCATCAGTCCTAAATATATCATCAGGCTTACCTATTTAGGCAATAAAAAAAAAAGGAAACAGGTACATACGTTGACACAGTACCTGAAAGAGACAGCACTAAACTGAATTAGACCTTTGGCCAGGTACAAGAAGCTAAGATGAGAATCGAATGCTTTGCATTGCATACGAACTTTACTTTCTCTCGCCAATATATATATATCTTGGCGCACGTTCGCTTCGTATGCCTTTCGAGTTTCATTATGTAAAATACCTAAATTTATGCTAACATAATGTGTATACAGGCTGGTTTCGTTTAGAAAGATCTTCACGAAGGCATCCCTCCTTTAAGGCAGATAGCCCGGCTTTGGCGTAGCTTAATAATCTAAATCAATCCATTTCATCAGTATTTAGTCAGAGCCTTTATCAGTCTTTACATTTTGAAGGCGTGAGATGAAAGGAAAGATTGGTTTCATTGACAGGGAAAACGTCTTTAGCTGATATCTATATACGTCACTGGATAAATTCCGGATAATTCTACTAAATCATGGGATGCTCCGTTTATGATACGATATGATATTCTATGTAGTAAATTAAATTTATGCAACCATGAATTTAATTTAAAGTCGAAAACCAGTCGCTCTTCACTTTAATCTGCAGTGATATCGTTTTTGTCTTTTCTGTTAGCACAAACTCAATTGCTGCTATTTGCTGGAGGGTTTTTTTTTTTTTTTTCTCTCTTTGAACACCCAGCTTCCTTGAAATAGATTCCCCTTTAAATTTTTGCTTCCTTCCCCCCTCCCCAATTTCTTTCTTTCTACATTTGTTTTCAGTGCTGACACAAGAAAATTAAGTTTTTTAGATTGTAAAACTTCCATAAGTATTGCATTCTTGTCAAATTTTTTAAAATATCAGTTGCATTAAATACATTTTAGTTGAAGACAGCTTCTAGACATTTTAATTATAAATAAAGTTTAAGGCAAAGTCCAAAGGATAAATATTTGAATTAAAGGATTTTTGTTAAATGAGAAAGAAATAAACCACTCCAGCAGCGCTCATCCTGTACCACCGAATCACCCAATTCTTATATCGGGTGCAATAAATCTTAATCATTATTATTTAGAATTTTTAAGCCTAAAAATTTCTATATTAAAGAAGATGTTTTTTATATAATCTACAACACGAGAGAAAATTACTAATTAAAACATTCTTTCTAAGAGGATTAATGTAAAAATTTATAGATATTGTTTTAAAGCTGGGACATGACCTAAACTATCAACATCCTGTTTGCTTAAAAACATTGTGAAAATAAACATCAGACGAACTTTCTCAGCTTTAGATAATTCAGTTTAAATGAAGTTGAAGTAAAATAGCAGACGATAACACGTCGAAGGTAAAAATTTGCTCTCACAAATATTTAAAAAAAAAAAAATAATAAAAACATAGTAAAAACAAAATCTGAAATGTTTCAGATTTTAAATTACGTCCAAAGGGGCGTTTTTTAACATTTTGTGTGTTACCTTTCTTTATTAAATATCATGTTCCTCGCACTTAAACCATAAGATCCAGTGCAACAGCAATATCGCAAAATAGTTTTAAAACGAGCATACCTTTAGAATTTCCGATACAGAGACTTACGCGCTGGAGATAAAAATGTTTTTTTCTGCACAACGTTGCCATTGCTCGCTTTGAAATCCTTAAGTTTGTTAATTAAAAATTCGTCAAAGTTTTAAAAAATAGGAAATCGATCATAAAACAAATTTCAAATTTCAAATTTGGTCTTCCACATGCTCATATTCGTTGGAGGATTACGTTATTCAAAATTCGATGACTCTATGTACCGTTGTTTTATCACAATACGAGAAATATACATACATTTACGCAGATTTTTCATTATTTAATTTCTTCAAACATAATGCAGGACTCTAACATTTTGTGGCAACAGTTTGAAAAGTGAACCGACATTTATGAGTCCGACGCAAAATGCCAAAACGAAACTAATAGTCCTTCGGGATTCAAATCCCTTTGGACTAATAAGGAAGAAAGAAAGAAATTTTTAAAAAAAGTTAAAATTCTGAATAATAGCACCTATAATTTTTAAAAAAAATACCTTTGCGTATAAATATTAATAAATATTTATTACGCATACTTGAGGGAAAAAAATTCATATAATTAATTCTTCGAAAAACTTTACTTGAAATTTAAGGTTAAAAATAGCTGTGGCAATTCACTGTAACAAAATCCATAAACCACATTTGGCTTTATTATCGCTCAGACAAAAGATGCCAAATTTCAAAACGCGAAAATATGTAAATTCGTGTATATCTTACAAAATTTTGAATACAAAACTCTAATTTTTTGTAGGTATGCTTAGAAATACACCTACTTTAAGATGATGGTAAAACTTTTATAGGTTATAATTCAAAATTGTTTTCGAAAAATTTATAAAAATTATTTTAAAATAGAAATTTTAAAAATAAATCATAAAAAAATGGGTGAATTTTATTTGGAATGAACCTAAATTTCTAACTGTGAAAGAAGGAATCAAGTAAGTGTAATAAAAAAAGAGATATTAATAAATATATACCAAATTCAATTAACATGGAGGAGCTAAAATTTTGAGAGCTAATTTTTTAAAAACTACTCGTGCGAATTTTACAAAACTTGGCAATCTGGCATAATTTAAGACATAGAATCGAAATATTGAAAACAAATGATATGTTATCTCAGAAAAATTCCGATTTTTTGTCAAAATACCTATGTTTGAATAATGCTATATATAAATCTAATATATATCCTAAGTCGCACTTTCAAGACATGAAAAACGCAATTGGAATTTCCAGTCCACCAGTGGCCGAGCAGTAAAATCGCTGAAAACTGGTAGTTCGGCCCAGTTTTCAGCGATTCCCGCGATTTCAGCGAATCCCGCGAACGGGCTGCCTGCATGGGCGTTTTCGTGGTTTTCAACATGTGTAACGTGTATACGAGCCAGTTTCCCTTAGAAATTCCTCCACGAAGGCATCCCTCCCCTTAGGTACATAGCCCTTGAGGCTTTGCCATAATCCCACACACAATTTGAATTTCGTCAATCGGCACAGTAGAACGGGAGATATAGAACTGCCCCCCCTTTTTATAGCGCAGTGTACATTTAAATCTGTTATCTTGGTAATGTTATAATAAAGCTGTTGTGACCCTAATCTGATGTGAACCCCACATGACTTCCTTGTACGGCCTATTAACTTATGAACTTTTTTTTTTTTTTTTTTTTTTTCTGCATTTCATTTAAACTTATTTCCTCGAATTTCATTAGCAATATATTTCTAATTCAATAAAGGATTAGCGGCAAAGAAAAATACACAAAATCTCAAAACATTTTCATTAAAACGGTAAAATACAGAAAATCCTAAAACACCAAATAGTGTTAAAAACTGTTAAAAAACAATTTTTACAATTAAAATTAGGCTTTAAATTAAATAAAATTCAGCAGAAAGATTTTTCGGTGCACAAAACGTTTGGCCCTACTAGGCAAAAAGACACTTAAGTTGGTGCAGAATCTGACTTAATTCACTATGCTTGTAAGTTTCACATGTAAACAAATGGTAGCGTCATTAGGCTTAGTGAAACTTAAGTTTTAAATTGTTGATAATTCTTCAAGTATTGCCTGCAGGTTAATTAAAGGCATAAAAACATTAACTGGAACATAAGAACAATGTAATTCAATCCCTTTTAAAGCAAAAAATGCACAATTTACCAACATATAAGAATAAAAAAACTTAGCTCACCTAGCCGGGTATCAGAGTGGGTATATATATATACATATATTTATATACTTTAGGTGCGGCCGATTGCAACCGAAAAGGAAGATACACATCTATTAGGGAGACCGGAAAGTAATGTCGCTTTCTTACATTAAATTCGAACGAATACATTTTTAACAAGTTTTTTATTTTTAATCAATAATATAATCACCCTATTTATCAACAACCTTTTGCCATCTAATGTGCAGATTTTCAATCCCGGACCGGGAAAAGTCAATTGGTTTTTGAGTAAAATATCTCGAGAGGACATTTTGGACATCATCCAAATTTTCAAATTTTTTGCCACTAAGAAAATCCAATGCTGCAATATCGGCCGAGTATGGTGGGTGAGTATGGCAGTAACTCCCACTCCAATTTTTTCCAGTGTTCGTCTTGCACAGAGTGGGTCGCAGAATGATGCCTTTTCTGTTGGCAATTGATATTTTTCTATTAAAGATTGGTTCACTCAATGCAATGTTCACACTAAACGTCTGCATTAACAGTTTATCCAGGTTTCAGCAATTCAAAATGAACAATTCCGCGAATATTCGATCAAACGCACAGAAGCACCTTTTCGGGATGTAAATCCGTTCATTTGGAGAGAGCCACTGCCTTTTGCGTTTTGGATTATCATATAGGATTCATTCTCGTCTCCAGTAATCGAAAGATCAAAAAACGGTTCTGCATGGTTGCATTGTATATGGTGGTTCAGTTGGCTTTGTTCTCTTCAGACAGATTATAGGGGACTCAAACACCTGCTCTGCTTATTTTTCCAATCTGCTTTAAATGTTCTTGGATGGACGACCACGGTAGGTTAAGGGTGTTTGACATGGATTTGCTTCCACTTCTGCCCTTAGCATATCGTTCTCTAATGTTGTTGGTTTTTCTGATCGGTAGGAGTCGGAGAGATCAAAATTACAGAATTTGAACTTGGAAAACCATCTTTGGCAATTACGAACGTCTAATGCACATGGATAAACATTGCAAATGCTTTAGGTCGCAACTGTTACTACCCTTGCGAAACTCAAAAAGCATACAATGCCGGATAACGCTCTTCTGGTATTTAGCTGGCCATTTCCCCAAAATTGAACAAAAAAAAAAGCTTAATATTTAATTATTTAGAAGTGAGCAAGTCACAATAACCTTAAAATGACTTTGGCATGCCTTCGAGATACACAATGTGTTGACAAATGACAATCAAATATCGACATGTGCAGAAACGACATTACGTGCCGGTCTCCCTAATACATGTTATACCAATCCCATATACAAAATTTCAACGTTCTGAGGCTAATCGTTTTTGAGTTACAAGAGATACAAAAATACGTACGTAAATACAGACGTCGCGAATAAAAACTTTTTTGGGTCCATTTTAAATCCATTTCACAATCCGTTCTGGGAAAAAGAGTCCTTTATTCTGTTCGTATGTACAGATGTAAAGCAAAACCATCGTTCAAATGGAATCGAGAGCGGTCAAAATGAATATTTTCTTTGGAATACGACACCGGAAATGTTTCGCGATTATAATACTTCCTTTACTTCGTACAAGGAAGTAAAAATTTACTTTTATTAAGCATATGTTGATTTCTGTTTAATTGAAATAGATGAACTTTATCATTTCAGATACAGCGGTGAAAGTAAACACAAGCATTTTTATATATAGTATCACATCTCTAGATGAACTTCATACGGTAAGCTTCTTCTTTGATTATATTATCATTTTCATATGCGTAGTTCACACATTCTAATTCATTCTTATACGATATGTCCTGGAATTATCTCAAAGATTTAATCTTTGAAATATTAACGTATTTAAGTAAAGTTATTTATTTTTTTTTTTCGGCCGACCAGACGGTATAGTGGTTAGGGAAGCCTGAATGCGATATCGAAGGGCCGCCGGAGAAGGTAAGGGATGGGCATAAAATTGTCTGTTCCTTCATCGGAGGTAGCGGTAGTCGCCTATTAGGTGCCTCCACAATAAAATGGCCACCATTTCTGCCCTTAGGAGTGGCCAATGCCGTTATAGGCAAGAGTCCTCCATTGGGGGAAAAAATTACGTTTCATATTAACTAGAATATAGAAAGGAAAATTTCAAAAGTGCATATTTTCGCAGTTTCTCAAAACCGTTCAATTTCAGGCTAGGAAATAAATAAACTAAACTCAGTGGCGCAACAGCCCTAGCGGGCTACGGCCCACAGTGCCCCGAAATCTGCTTTCTTGACCTTTGGCCCGGGGTGCATTAGCATATGCCCTGGGAAAGTGGTCAGCTTGTCGCTTGTTTCTTGACTAACCTTTTTTAAAACAATTTTAAAAAAGAAACTTTAATTTACAATTAAAATTGCAGTTTCGGCGCAAAAGCAAGCAACTTGGCCAGCAGGCAACAAGGCAGAATTTTCGGGGCACAAAACTGAAAGTTAACTTTTGGTCCCACTCGGCAAGAAAACATTGAAGGTGCAAAAGCTAAATTAATTCCCTGTTCTGCTAGGTTTCAAATGTAAACAAATATGGCTGCTATGGTAAAATAATTAGGCTTAGCCGCATTTAAACAACTTTTAAGTTGTCGGTAATTCTACAGCTATTACATGCAGATTAACTATAGCATGCAGGCATAAAAACTTTAACCAGAAGATAAGAAAAACTTAAATTCAATAATTTTTAAACAAAAAAATGCACAGTTTACCAACATATAAGAATAAAAAACACTGGGCTCAAAGAGCCGAGTAACTGAGTGGATATATATATCCACTCAGTCAAAAAATCCAAAAAGGAGATGCAATCAACAATCAAAAAATCAAAAAGGGAGACGCAAAAAAGAGAGTTTTTGCAATCAAAAAAGGAGATGCACAACTACATGTTATAGCAGTCCTATATACAAAATTTCAACGTTCTGAAGCTACTTGTTTTTGAGTTATGCGAGATACATACGTACGTACAATCAGACGTCACGAAAAAAGTCCCTTCTGAATCCATTTTAAAATAAATTTTATAATCCGTTTGGGGAAAAAGAGTCCTTTATTCTGTTCTTATGCATAGATGTCACGCAAAAACATCGTTAAATTTCATTCGATAGCAGTCAAAATGGATATTTTCGAAATATGATACCCGGAATTTTTCGTGATTACAATACTTCCCGTACAAGGAAAAAAAAAGTACAGCAATTCAGCTAGTTTAGATTCTTGCTCATAAAAACAAGAAATTGAGAATCAAGTGGAGTTACATCAAATTAAAGTGCAGATACTTTTTAACGGTGTCATTACATAACACTTATCCATAACTGGCGCTAAATCGCACTGCTTAACAATAGTTTCACGGACGACAGGTTAATAGGTAAGTATTGTGTTTGCAAATAAAACGAAAAACAAATTTTTTTGTGGGAAGAATTTAATTTCAAAGTTTAAATTTTATATAGCATATGCTTATACTGTTTATTGCTACTTTTTTTCTAGAATAAAATATATGTTACCAACATTCAATATCACTATCTTAATTACACTTTAAATAAAAGTTATTTAAAGTTTAATATTTTAGTATACAAGGGGTGATCAAATGAAAAGGTACGAAACGACACGGTGGGTACAAATGAAGACTTTATTCAAAATATACACCATAGGCCTGAGCACAATGATCCCACTGATGAACACGCCGCAGGATTCCTCGTTCCCAGAATTCCTGTGCCCGTGACGAGACACAGTCCTTCACAGCGTCCTTGAGTACGTCGTCCGAGTTGAAGCGCTTCCCTTTCAGGTGTTTCTTCAGTGGACCAAACACATGGAAATCGCAGGGCGACATGTTCGGACTGTAGGGCGGATGGTCCAACGTCTCCCACTTGAACTTGGCCAGTTCCATGTGTGTGACTCTGGAGACGTGTGGACGCGCGTTATCATGGAGCAGAACCATACCCTCCGTGAGCAGCCTCAGTCTGTTCTTCTTGATGAACCTGCGTAGGCGTCGGAGTGTCTCACAGTACACATCGGAGTTAATGGTTTTTCTGTGCTCGAGGAATTCCACAGGTAGCGGACCTTGAACGTCGAAAAAGGACGGTGAGCAACAACACCTTGCCTGCTGACGACACGGCTTTGAACTTTTTAGGGGAAGGTGACGACACAGGCTTCCACTGCATACTGTCCCGCTTTGTCTCTGGCTCGTAGTGATGGCACCAGGTCTCATCACCTGTGACGATCCGCTCCATGAAAGCGGGATCTTCCTGATACCGAAACAGATGTTGCAGTGCTAGCCCCATACGCAGTTCCTTTTGCTGGTCGGTGAGCTGCTTCGGAACCCAAGCGGCACACACCTTCCGATATCGCAACCTGTCATGAACAAATTGTCCACACGGTTCCATAGCTGACATTAACCTTCACGGCCAACATTCGCAATGTGACACGCCGATCACTTCTCACTAGGTCGTCCACCTTGTCGATGAGATCGCTCGTGATGACAGTGTTTGCCTGGTTTGGTCGCGGGTCATCACCCACCTCTCACGGCCTGTACGAAAACGGGCACTCCATTTCCTGACAAACTTGTCAGAGATACATTTCTCCCCGTAAACTGTCACCATCCAGCGATGAATAGCTGCTGGTTTCTCACCTTCCGCTGTCAGAAATCGGATAACAATAATACCTTGCTGCTCCTCAATCGTCGAATTTTGCAACGCGAACGCAATCCTGTCCTCATACGGACTGCCGGATCATTTGGACTCCGCTTTTGATAAGAGCCTCTGCTCTTTCCTGCGCATGCGCGCGCTCGCGCATGCTCCGATCCCAGTCAGAGACTCCAATTGCATCCCGAGATGTCTCGCTCTCTCCCATGGCGGAATATGCAAATATTTAACTGTTACGTTTTTACATCGTTTCGTACCTTTTCATTTGATCACTCCTTGCATATTCATAGTTGAAACTTAATTTTGAGGGGGAATTTTTAAGTTTCGTACGTAATTAGATTTTGATATATGAATCCTCTCCATTTTCGTTCTTCTTTCTCATTGTAATATTCCTACACGGCAGTTCAGACAAACTAATGCATTTATTAAATATAGTTTTATTAACTACATATTAATTATTCGTTATTTTACTTGTGCTCGTCTTGAATCCCGCTTGTTTTGCGCCATTATTACTAAAGTTTTAGTAGCGTTAATATATTCGCCTACTTTCCAGAACAACACTGTCTTGGCAAAGTAAAAAATATCCTCAAACTTATGTGCCAAGGACAAAAACAATTTTCAGAATTACGGTTTGCTAGTAATTTCGTAAAAGATGAATTGTTTACTAGCCGTTAATCAAATGGCGCCGAAATACGGATGAGAAGTTTTATTTTTGAATTAACTTTAATAAATTCAAATACTCTCAGTTTATACAAAACAAATCGTAAACATACAAAAATTAAATATGTAGAAGCATCAAACAATAATCCGATAACATAGTTAAATTAAAAATAAATTTTAATACAGTTATAGGTTAGCTACGTTATACAGTGTCTCACAAAAGTGATGGGACACTTGTGCTTTACAAAAGGAAATTTTAGTAAAATAAATTTTTAAAAAATGTAAAAATGTTTTCTGTGTGTGTTTCGTACTTAAATTTAATAACAATTATTTCATAACATACATTTTCTCAAAATATTAAAATATTAATTTAATATAAATACAATTGTTTAGAATGGAGCAAAAAATGGCTCAAATAAGTGATGGGACACTTACTTTTCCATCAAATATTTATCCAAAAATTTTACTTTTTAAAAGGTTTTAATATTTTGTTGGATTTCCTTTTACTTTTAAAACATGATTTAATCTTCTTGGGATGGATTTGACTATTTTTTTTTTGTGATTTCTTAAGTGATTTTACCCCATTCTTCTTGAAGCACCGATTTTAATTGTTGTTTTGAAGAAATGGCGTGTTTGCGAATTCTTGATTCCAATTCTTGCCAAATATTCTCTATGGGATTTAAGTCTGGAGATTGTGGTGGTGTTTTTATTATTTCAGGACAGTTATACAGCAGCCAGAGTCTAACGTTCAAAGCACTGTGCTTGGGGTCATTGTCCTGGTAGAATTTAAAATCGTTATGAAGGTTCAATTTTCGTGCTGAAGATTTCAAATTTTGATTTAAAATGTCAATATACTTGTACTGATCCATTATACTGTCAATAAAAACAAGATTACCAACTCCAGCGAACGACATACACCCCCATACCATAACTCCTCCTCCACCATGTTTTACTGTTGGCACCAAGTTCTGTTTGTGAAATTCTTCCCTGGGTTTTCTCCACACCAAGATTCTACCGTCAGAACCAAATATATTAAATTTACTCTCATCAGCAAATATAACTTCATTCCAGTAATCAGAATTCTTATTTATGTTGGATTTTGCGAAAGCCAGTCTGAGTTTTCTATTCTTTTCACTCACGAAGAATTTTTTCCTGGCTGCTCTACCGTGATATCCAGTAGATAGAATTACTCTTCTAATAGTCTCAGAATTAACAATTACTCCATATAATGCTTGTAAATCAGCAGCAACTTTAGGATCACTCATTCTTGGATTTTTTTTTAAATATTTCGAACGATAATTCGCTTTATTCCATTGGATAGCTTTGATGGTCGGCCAGGTCTTCTTTTATCCTGAATCATATGATTCTTTTTATATCGTTTAATGATATTGAAAAACTGTTGAATGACTGAAGTTAACTGTTTTCAGTAGT